AAAAAATGGTCTAGAGACCAAGACCGATCTCGAGTACTACAACACTGTTACTGAGCTGTGTGTTTATGGTTTGTGTTATTTCTCTCATAATGTATCCTCACTTAGAATCACTTTATAAGCAGCAACGTCTCACAATAAAACATTTCATTGAATCTAATTCCTTCCTAGATCAGGCCTTTAATAAAGTAAACAGAGCGCTGCTGTGGGGACCACACCGTATGAGAGACGAGGGACCCAGACCGAGGTGGCCGAGGGACCCAGACCGAGGTGACCGAGGTGGCCGAGGCCCCGGGAAGCCTCGGAGGGTTTATCGGTCAGAAAGGCTCCAGAGAGCCGAGAGAGACTCGGAGGGACCCGGAGCGGCAACACTTACCTCTGTTAACAAGTCAACATGTTATTTCCACCCTCCGCTCAAAATGGAGGCTGACTTGAAGAAAAAGATCAAAGTTAGTTTCAGTTTCTTTTTCACAGAAATCAGGTGACTTGTGTTTTCTTCCGCGTCCAGAATCAAAGTTTGATTCATTTGAATAAATATTAACAGTTCAGTTTGAGTTTACAAAGTGAAATAAAACTAGAATAAAGATAGAAAACCTTCGGTATTTCTGTTTTGCTGTTATTGAAGAAGATTTGGAGCTGAGCAGCTTTTTGTTCTGCAGAACAAACGAGTTTAACAGGTTTTTGATTGTGGATTATGAGCGCTCACTGCCCTCTGGTGGTCAACTATCGTAACTACAGATATCCCACTACATATTAACCAGGTCATTTGTTTAACTTAATTTGTTCTCATTTTCACCTTTATCAGGCCAAATAAAATCAGCTTAAATTAATGTTGTTAAAGAGCCACTGGAGGGTTAATAAATGGAAAAGAAAATTAAACTTACTTAGTTAAAAATCCTCACAAAAAGAGGATGTCTGTAACTTTAAGAATCAAGCCTGAAAAAATATATAAACTATAAAAATGTGTAATTAAATCCAACCTGCTGAGATCAGAGCATTGAGCAGGATGAAAATACCTAATGGAAAAAAATTAAATATAAAAGTTGAAGTCTAAAATGTTACTAGTTAATATTGCTTATTTAACTGCAATCTGTTGTATAACTGAATTCATCTGTGAATAAATGTATTACATGTACAACATCAAGGTGCAACTGCTAATATTATTTAAATACTTTAATCTGTTTTAAATGACTAGGAACAGGAAAGTTATATGGTGGTGGTTTAAAACCTCGGCAGAATTTAATTTCATGCTTCTAAATAAAAGTTTAAGGGTAAAAACAAGAAAAGTAAAATGCATTATTTAACATAAAGCTAACGGGGGATATGAACTTGTTTCCATAGCTCTTAATGTGAAAGTATTCAAAAGAAGTGGAAGTGATGTGTAAATTCTCTGGCTTAATGGTACTGTATAGCTGTAGTTTCTTATCACCATAGACATCACACTTATTGTTTTGAAAAACACAAACCGGAAGTGTCTTATTTGTCTTTAAATTTGTCTCAGTATATAATATAAATATTACTTAATAATGTTGTAATGTTATTTACATATTTAAAAATATTATTTAGTAACTTACCAATAATTATCATTAACATAATATTAAAAATTATTCAATCTCCCGATTATTATAAAGGTTCTTTAAAACCCCAGCAACTTAGTCTTGCAAGAATATTTTACGCTTTCTTATTTTGTTTTACTGTTGGATCCACGAGAGCATCAGTAAATATTAATACATTTTAAAATATTAGTAAAGTGTGCAGTGTTGCATAGCTGGTGTTCTGATCAACCCTGTTTAAAATAGACCCTTTTCGCAGTGACGTCAGACATGGCCGCCATAACTCGAAGATGTGTATCTTTACTTCCGGTGTGTTTTTGCCTCGGGAAACCTGACTGAAAAATTCACGGATACTCATTATCTTAAGGATATAATAAAAGGTCAGGTTAATAACAACAGCATTAAGTGTTAGCCTTTATTACTCAATGTCATTCCACCATTCTCTAACTGTGTATTGTGCATCGGTTAAAGTTGGAATTGGCAGGCGATCGGCCAGAAAACTGCAATCAGTGCATCTGTTATTCTTAGTTTAGTTTTTAAATGCAGTAGAAAAGATAACTTTTTAATTACAAGGTATTAATATTTCTAAAATTAATTTGTGGTCAAGCTAGATCATGGCATGCATCAAGGTATTGTTGCATGTCATGTGACTGTATTCTTCTTATTATTATTAAATTAATTATTAACTTTAGTTTAAGACTTGCATTAATCCCAAAGCTGTTTTTTTAATTGGTTTTATTGGAAATACTTTAAATGTAAATATTGGCGCTTTTTTTTTTTTTTTTTTTGCCCATGGTTTTTTTTTTGGGGGGGGGGGGGGGGGGGGGGTGCCGGGTGG